GATTCTGGGTCTGGCATGGCATGTGGTACCAGGGATCAAACCCAGGTCCTTGTGTTTGCCAGGCACATGCTTAGACCACTAAGCTATCTCCCCAGCACTGTCCTTGGATTTATTATATAGCCCAGGCAGGGCTCAGAGTTGAGGGGATCCTCCTGCCTCAGCGTTGTAGTGTTGGTATTACAGATATATGCCACACCATGTCCCACCTGGGTAGGGATATCTTAAAATTTTTTAAAAAGTATTTAGTACAGAGTCTACAGGGTCTCACTACACAGATCAGACTCATGGTGATCCTCCTGCTGTCAGCCTCCCAAATGCTTGGATTATAGGAGTGAGCCACCACACCTAGTCTCAGTGTGCCCCAGGGATGGGGCCAGCACAGCAACCATCAATTTTTGATGTGGAAGCTGAAGCTCAGACAGGGTAAGGTGATTTGTAAAGGTCTTTGGCAATAGAGACTGAGTATTTCTGTGTGATCCTACCAAAAGCTTTCTTGGAGCCATTTACCCCAGGCTCCAGGAGGCAAGTCACTTTTTTTTTTTGTACTGGGGATTGAACTCAGAACTTTGTGCTTGCCAGGCAGTTTATGCTATTGAACTATGTTCCCAGCCCCAAGAGATAGGGTTTTTACTTTTGTATGTCAGTATTGCTGGGTTAAAACCCAGGTACTCAACCTGCAAGTCAGGTAAGGGGTGGCACAGAGCCCTGACAGGAATTACCCATCATTTCTTTCCTGGAGGGATCCTTTTTCTGCTTTCTCTATTACACTGAGCATGCAGGTCTGTGATTCTCCAGTCAGGTTCTTTCCTTGCCCTAAGGTGTCGCAGGAGCAGATTATGGGCCCAATGTAGGTACTAACACTGTCTCTTAGACACAGTGTCCTAGGGAAGGGGTTGGCTTGTAGGTAATGAAACAGGTGGCCGTGGAATTAACTGCTTCTCGAGCATGGATTATTGTCAAAATAGGTCAGACCTCTTGAACCAAAGGCAGTGGCTTCATGGTAGAGCCCTGTATAGGAAGGACAGCTTATATGACGTCAGAGAAAGAAAAACTCATTTCCCCAAAGAACAGCAGAAATCACACTATTCTTTTTTTTTTTTAATTTTATTTATATGTGTGTGTGTGTGTGTGTGTGTGTGTGTGGCCAGCTCAGCCTACCAGGGGGCGGGGCCGGCTGGCATGTGGTGCTGGGGGATCGAACCGTGGTCCCTGTGCTTTGCTAAGCTTGTTCTAAGTAGGTGCTTTAGATCACTGAGACATCTCACCAGCCCTATTCTTTCAATTAGAAATTCATGAGCACTTTATGAGCACTTTTTTTTTTTTGAGACAGGGTCTCATTATGTATCTCAGGCTGGCTTCAAACTCATGATGATCCTTCTCCTTCAGCCTCCCAAGTGCTGGGTTTACAGGTGTGTGCCACCATGCCTGGCTAGGAGCACTTCTAAGGCAGAATTGGGAGTAAAAAATCCTATAGGGAACTAGGAGGGTTTTCCATGCAGAGGTGGACAGGTGAGGAGGAGATTCCAGGAGTCCAGTGGGAAGTTGGAGCAGCTTAGAGTAGTCCCTTGGTCAGGTAAGAAGATGAAATTCCCCCATAGCCAGAGGGCATAAGATATTGGTAAACTGGGGGCCTGGGCCTTTGGAAGATTGTGGGCTTTGTCCTTCTTCCTGGAAAGAAAGGTGGGCATTTTAAATAATAAACCTGTCAAGAGTACATGAAATTGCTGGGTGTGGTAGCACACACCTGTAATCCCAGCAGTTGGGGAAGAGGCAGGAGGATTTCCACATGTTCAAGGGCAGCCTGGGCTGCACAGTGAGCTCAAGGCCAGCCTGAACTACACAGGAGACTCTGACTAAAAAAAAGGGTAACAGTACATAAAATTGCTAGGTGTGGTAGTGCATGCCTACAATCCCAGTAAGTTTACTGTGAGTTTGAGGCCAGTATGGGTTACAATAGTGAGACCCTGTGTCCAAAAACAAAAAATAAACTCACTGTTATACTGGAAACAGCAGTTGACACCCTACCATGTTCATTTTCACCAACATCTACTGCTTCTGGGCTAAACACATATCCCACCTGTGCTATTCTACATCCGTAACTGAAAGCATCTCACAATTGGCCCACTGTAGCCTTGTCTGTGCCTGTTGGTAGTGGTGTGATATACCCCACTGCGTGCAGGGTGTTGATAGCCTAAGGTGTTGTGAGTAGGGAGGGGCATCATCCTTATGTGTTTTTCCCACCTCTGAAGTTCTTTACTCTTGCCCTTTTCTACCCATTGTCAAGTACGGTTCTTTTTTTTTTTTTGCAGAACCAGGGATTGAACTCAGGCCCTTGTGCTTGCTAGGGAAGCACTTATTCCACTGAGCCATCTCCCTGGCCCTCAAGTACTGTTGGCACCTGTTTTCCAGTTACTGGCTGTCTGTAGGTTTGGTTGTCATAGTAACTTCCACTGGTACAACTGGACAGGCTTGAATGCAGGCAGGATTCAGGATAAAGGTAGATAGACGATGATGCAGGGCTCAGGCTTCTGGTATTCTTTCCTGATGAAAGGACCTCTTCCTTGCCCCGCTCCAATGGGCATCCACAGAGGCCCATGGCTTCTGCTTGTTACTGAAGGATTAGCCAGAGGAACATAGACAAATCTCTGCTTTGGCTACTCTTTTGGAAGCTCTGTGTGTGTGTGTGTGTGTGTGTGTGTGTGTGTGTGTGTGTGTGTTATCAGGGATTGAACGTAGGGCCTTTGCACTATGCTACATCCTTAGCACTTTTATAATTTTGAGACGGTCTGGTCTAAGTTACTAAATTGTCCAGGTTGGGCTTAAATTTGCAATCTTCCTGCTTCAGCCTTCCTAGTAGCTAGGACTATGGGTGTGTGCTACCACACCCAGGTAGGATGCCTTTTGAATACTGTTTGCTGGCTGTTGTGAGACACCTCAGAACAAGTCAGGTAGAACAGGTTGGTTCTGGCAGAGGCCAGTGGTGGCGTCACTTGGACTGGAAGAATTTGTCTACACTAATTTGTCAGTAGCACTGGTGTAGCCTTTCTCTCTCCTTTTTTTTTTTTTTTTTTTGTTGGTACTGGGGATTGAACTCAAGACCTTGCACTTGCCAGGCAAATGCTTATTCTACAGAGCTATCTCCCCAGCCCCCTATTTTGTAAAAGAAGTCAGAGTTCTAATTTTACAGGTGCCTGTCCCCTATTTAAAATATATGAAACCTGCCAACCTGGGCACACTGGGGAGTAGAGTTGTGAATTTGCCCTTACAAAAGGTTAGGTAATAGAATTGTCTAGGCTTGGTGTTGCTGTGGGAGCCACACCTAGGTTCTCCGGGTATTGTTGTCAAGGAAAACTTGGAAGAATCAGTCTACCCAAGAGCAGAGAAAAGGTGAGTTGAGGGCCCCTGACTTTAGCCCCCATGGCCTTTCTTCAGTAAGGTCTTCATATTCTGAGATCAGAAGCATAGCTTTAAAGGACAGGACTTTTTTTTTTTTTTTTTTTTTACAGGGTCTTGCCATATAGTCCAGGCTGGCCTGAGCTCACCATGTAGCTAAGGCTGGCCAGGAACTTGTGATCCTCCTGCCTCACCCTCCCGAGTTCTATTACAGGCATACACCACCATGCCTGGCTGGAATCCCAGCTCTGAGACTGGGAGGGAGGGAGGGAGGGTGGGAAATTTCACTAGTTCCTGTTGAAAGTTATCACCCAGTCAGTAAACTTTCTCCAGGAGTGCTCAGCAAAAGACCCTGCAGGCCAAACAAACAAACAAACAAACCCCAGCAAACAACAAGTGGTACACTATTCCTCCTTTACAAAGTGGATGGCCCATGACTCCTCTACTATGTCAAGGGACTTTTTGAGGGTTGTTGTTTCTAATAACAGGCTACCTGGTGCAGAGCCTGGGCTGTCTGTCCTGTGCATCAGAGTATGAGGTGCTTCTGCTACCAGCAGTTCAGTTCCCAGCAGCACTGAGGTCTGGTCTTGTGGATGTGCCAAGCATGTTTGGGAAGTGCTAGTGAGGATTTTAATTAATGCTGTGTAATTACTAGATGGTGCTTAACCATCTCAAATGCCCTCTAGGTTTCTAAGCATACAGCTAATCATTTCCTCGCTGGGCCTGGCGGGGAGGATTGTTTTGTGTCTATGGGGTCTTTGGTCAGTACCTAGACTGTGGTACAGACCTACCAGGAAGGTCCCTTCCTTCTATTCCCTTCCAGTCTTGTGGGAGCAAGTTGGGCAGTAGACTGGACTGTTTGCCTATTTCCTCCTCAATGAGGCAAAGGATAAACAGCCTGCACTTCATCTAACAGTGCTGGCTCAGGGCCCAGGGCAGTGTGGGGAGTGGAGAGATGTACAGTATTGACCTGGAAAACTATGGGGAGAGTGCTCAAAAAGAGGAACAGGCACAAAGGTCCTTCCTGCTCTGTGCTTTATTACTTCTCACTGTATTAGGTTGGCTGAGTGAGCTCTTTCAAGGTTATTTCTCTGTCTGTGGCTCTCAAATCACTATCTCACTGGAACTTCAATTTCCTACAATGCCTTCTTCCCCTTTTGACATCTCATAGACTATGTCAAATTGCTGAGAGGCCTATGGATTACTCCACCCGTCAGCCAGGATGGTGTTGATCTGCCCAGACCTTTGCTCTGTGTTCTGCATTCAGACCGCTTCCTGTAGACTGTCCTCGGGGTCAACGTGTTATCGTCCCGGCCTACAGTGTGATTTCTCGCCCGCCAGCCACCACAGCCGGGACCTTGGAGAGCTGCTGGCTACGGTCTCTGCGCCCGTGTCCGTACTGTCCTTTAGGGCCGTTTAGCGTGGGCCGAAGGAACAAAGGAAAGTCCCTTACGGCCAGCCTGCCTGCCTCAACCCCTCAGCTACAGCCGCGGGCCCAGCCTCTAGGGAGCTCCGGGACCCGCAGGCGGGCAAGGCGCACGCGCACCAGGGCTGCGGGGCCGCGCACGCACGCCTGAAGCCTGCGTCACAAACCCGGCGCGCGCCCCGCCCGCCTGCCGGTGGGAACCGCGGCGGCGGCGGCAGCCTGGCCGTGAGAGCGTAGGGTGGCGCGGCCCGGAACCGCAGCCCCGGCCGCTGCGGGCGCGACGCGAAGAGGCCCGAACTAACCGCGTACGACGAGCCGCGGGCGCCCGCGGGGGACCTAAGGAGGAAGAGGCCGCAGTACCGTTCCCCTTATCGCTGGCGGCATGAGCCACTTCCAGATCCCGCCTGGGCTCACGGAGCTTCTTCAGGGCTACACGGTGGAGGTGCTGCGGCGGCAGCCGCCGGACCTCGTGGAGTTCGCGGTGGATTATTTCACCCGCTTACGCGAGGCCCGCGTTCCAGCCGCCGCCGCCGCCCAGACAGACGACCCCGAGCCGGAGCCCGAGGTGGGCCCCGGCCCCGACGCGAGCAGCGAGACGGAGGACGACGACGAAGAGGACGTGGAAGGTAGGCGGCGGTGGTGGGCGGGGGTCTCCGTCGGTCTGAGCGGGCAGCCACCGCCCTGGGGCGGGGTCGGGGCGCCTCACAGAAGAAGCAGGAGCCGGGCCGAGCCCCACGCGCGCCGCTTCCACGCCCGGCCCTGCGGTCCCCGAGTGCAAGGGCAGGGGGAGTTGTCGGATTGGGCGCGAAGAAACGTGAGCTGCTCAGGCCCTGCCGCAGACCCCTTTCCTCCCGGGCCTCCTGCCTGGAGGACCAGAGCATTCGCTTTCACCCACTGGTGCTTCATAACCAGGACGGTAACTTTGGCGAGATTTCACGTATTGGAAAAGTTACTGAAGAACTTTTAAGCAGAGACAAAAGATAGTAATCACTGTATGTATACGTACAGTAGTAATCACTGTATATATACGTACACATTCAACAGTAGTAATCACTGTATATATATGTCCACATTCAACAGTTGTCGTTAGCTGTCACAAATGTTTCACCTGACCACCCACCATACCGCTTTGCTGAAAAAATTTTTTTCCTTACGATGCTGGGAATTGAGCCCACTGAACTACATCCCTAGCTTTTTATTTACTTATTTATTTTAAATTTTGGGACAGTGTTTCACCAAGGAGCTCAGGCTAGGCTAAAATTTGTGATTATACTCCCTTAGTCTCTCAGAGTGCTGGGATTACAGGCGTGTGCCCCTATGCCCAGCTCCTTTACTGAAATATTTTCAAGCAAAGTTTGATCATTTAGTCCTTGCTTAAGTGTGCGTTCTTAAAACAATCCGTGTGTGTGTGGGGGAAGCATGTATGTATTACAGTTGAATCACATTTGGTGAGAATAAAGCACTATCTTGTTTAGTGTGTAGGTACCAGGAAAAGAAGCAACATTTGGTACCGTACTGTAGATCTGATTTAAACAAGTAAGTCCAGAAGCAGTTTCATTTTCTTGGTTGGTTAAGAATGCTTTGTTGGGCCAGCCAGATAGCTCAATGGACTAAAGCGCCTCAGGACTGGGCTGGGGGATTTGGGAGGGGGGTGTCTGATCCCCTGCTTTCCGTGCTGGCCCCGCCCTCAGGGTGTGAGCGAATGAGACTGGCCAAGGTGGTGCACACCTGTAATCCCGGTGTTTGGGAGGCTGAAAATCCTGGAGGATCACTACAGAGTCTGAGCTGTGTAGTGAGACCCTGTAGACCCGGTACTAAATACATTTTTTAAAATTTAATTTAATTTTTTTTTTATTTATGTATGTGTGTGTGTGGCCAGCTCAGCCCACCAGGGGGCGGGGCTGGCTGGCATGTGGTGCTGGGGGATTGAACAGTGGTCCCTGTGCTTTAGCTAAATTTGTTCTAAGTAGGTGCTTTTAGACCACTGAGCCATCTCACCAGCCCCCAATACATTTTTTTAAATAATTTTTTTAAAATTTTATTTATTTATGTGTGTGTGTGCGCGTGTGGCCAGCTCAGCCCACCAGGGGGCGGGGCTGGCTGGCATGTGGTGCTGGGGGATTGAACCGCAGTCCCAGTGCTTTGCTAAGCTTGTTCTAAGTAGGTGCTTTAGACCACTGAGCCATCTCACCAGCTCCATACATTTTTAAAAAAATTAGCTTAAAAAATGCTTTGTCAGTTTAATATAAGAATTATCATACATTTGAACTAAAACATTTGAGAGATAAAGTGTTACTGAAAAGTATTACACAATGCATGGCACCTAGCGTGTATTTAAGGTTTCCTGATGTTGTAGTATATTTCAGCATCTCATTACTTTTTTTTTTTTTTCTTTGAAAAGGAGTCTTGCTGTTACTCAGGCTGCTTTCTAAAGCTTTAATGAGGCTGGCCATTGTTGGCATACTCCTGTAACCGCAGCATTTTGGAAGGCTGAGGCAGGAGGCTCACCCTGAGTTCAAGGTCTGCCTGGCTTCAGACCTTGAGTGAACATAGTGAGTTCAGAGCAAGTCTGAACTACATAGTGAGACCCTTTTCAAAAAAACAACTACAACAAAGAAAACCTTAATTGCTTCTCCCACCTCAGCCTCTCCAGTGCTGGGACTACTACTAGCCCTTGCTTTGCTTTTCATTCCTTGTTATTGATGAATACTGTTTCATTGTTTGAATATAGGTACTATATACCACATTTTGTTAGTCTGTTCATCAGTTAAAGGACACCTAGATTGTTTCTACTTTGCAACTATTATGAGTCATGCTTCCATGAATATTCATTTGTACAATTTTGTGAGTAGAGATATATTTTCATTTTTCTTGAGTATATACCTAGGAGTAGTTTAGCTAGGCCATATGGTAAATCTGTGTTTAACTTTTTGAGGAATCGCAACCCTGTTTTCTTAAGTGTCTTGCATGACGGATGATGTTGAGCATCTTTCTAAATATTTGTTGGAAAAAAAAATATTTGTTGGCCCTTTGTACATTTCCTTTTTTTTTTTTTTTTTTGTATTTTAGGGTGTTCAGGGTCTCACTACTAGTTCGGATTCATAGTGATCCACCTGTTTACAGCCTCCCAAGAGCTGGGATTACAGGTGCACACCACCATGCCCAGTCTTGTATATTCCCTTTGGAGAATTATCTTTAAACTCTTTGTACATGGGGTTGTCTTTTTATTTTTAGGTTATAGGGGTTCTTTATATATTCAAGATACAAAGCATCTAGCAGATACATGATTTAGATACTTTCATCCATTGGGGTTAGAACTCAGGGCTTGTGCATGCAAGCATGTGCTCTGCAACAGAACTACACTTCTAGTTCCTGATGACTTCTGTTTTTAGGGCAAAGTTTCATTATGTACTCCAGGCTGGGCTTGAGCTCACAGCAGCCTTCCTTGCAAGTGCTGGGGTTACAGGTATATGCCACTATGACCAGCTCCTTTTTTTTTTTTTGTGGTACTGGTATTGACCTTAGCACTAAGCTACATCCCTGCTTGGTGGTCCTCTCAGTGCCTTAACTGTTTTATTTTATATTTGAGAAAGGTCCTTGCTATGCAGTTTAGGCTGGTTCTAGACTTCACAGTGATCCTCCTGCCTCAGCCTACCAAGTACTGGGATTACAGGCATCTGCCACTACATCTAATTTTAGTCCCTTGAATTTCTTTTTCTTTTTTTTTTTTTAGTCCCTTGAATTTCTACATGACATTTAGGATTAGCTTGTCAATTTTTGTGAAGATATCAATAAGAATTTTTAAATTTTTGTTTTATCTTATTTTTGTGATATTCTGCTATGTATTCTAGGCTGGTCTTGAACTTTCTTTGTAGTCTGGGCTTTCCTTGAGTTGACTTCCTCCTGAGTGTTGGGATTACAGGTGTACATGAACAGACATTGAGTTTTCATTCTTAGTTTACAGCTCAGTTGAAAGATGAGATTATTTCAGGATTAAGAATTACTCCATTAGGGGCTGGTGAGATGGCTCAGTGGTCTAAAGCACCTATAGAACAAGCTAAGCTAAGCAAAGCACAGGGACTGCGGTTCAATCCCCCAGCACCACATGCCAGCCAGCCCCGCCCCCTGGTGGGCTGAGCTGGCCACACACACACAAAATAAATAAATACATAAATAAATAAAAAAGAATTACTCCATTAAAAAAAAAAAAGGGTGATGGGCTCAGGATGTAGCATGTGGAAAGTCCTGGGTTTCCACTGAAGAAGCAACTTGTAGAAAATAATAGATGTATTTTGCTCATTAGTAATCTTTTTTTTTTTTTTTCAAGTGTTTCAGAATTTTGTTTTAGGATTTGATTATAGATTGTGGTTTTCTTGGTTGGAGCCTGAGTGGACAGAATGATTATGTCCAAAGAAGCAAAGATAACTTTGAAATAAATTCCTTTTAAGTAATTAATTAGTTAATTTTGGCAATGGGAATGGAACGCAGGACCTTATGCTTGCCAGGCAAGCACGTATGCCTTTGAGCTATCTCCCTAGTCTATATTTATTTATTTATTTATGGAACTGGGGGTTGAACTTAGGCCCTTGCACTTGCCAGGCAAGTGTTTATTCTACTGAGCTATCTCCCTGGCCCCTCCCTGGTCTATATTTAATTTATATATAAAAGATCTATGTGCTCATGATAAGAATTAATAATTTTAAATAGTGTAGTTTCAGGAATGAAAATAGGAGTTGGGACAACTTTTTATGTCTTAAAATATGATTTGTTAGGACTGTTCTTAAATATTATGTATTCATTGTAAATTATTCTGTTTGAGCCAGGGGTGATGATGCATGCCTGAAATCTTAGCCCTTGGGAGGCTGTGGCAGGGGGATTGTTGTGAGTTTGAGACCAGTCTAGGCTAGAAAGGGAGCTCAAAGCCAGCCTGAACTGCGTAGCCAGACCCTGTCTCAAAAAGACAATAAATAAATAAATTGTTCTGTTTATAGTTTTTTTTTTTTTTTTTCTGTTCATTCCTGTAATATATAGCACTTTGCAATTAAAAGAAAGTATGACTGTTCCGAGGCTGGAAACTAGACCTTTTAGCTTGTGTTATTTTTCTTGTATTTAAGGTTCTGTTTAAATTAATTTAGGGTGGGCATAGTGGCACACACCTATAATCCCAGCAACTCAGGAGATAGTTATTCAAATCAGTTAATCAATAAAATGAGTTCAACTATAAATAGCAAATGGCTTGCATTTTCTTAGTCCTTTCTAGGCTGGGTAATATTAGGAAATCATTCAGTGCATTTTTTTATTTATTTATGTTTATGTTTAAAAAACAAAAAAAAAATCTTTTATGTGTATTTGTGGTGTGGGGATCAAACCCAGGACCTCTTATATGTTAGATAAACCCTGTACCATTCAGTCAATTCCCCAGCCCAGTCCTTTTATATTTAGTAACTTTGTATACGTTCAGGTCTGTGATAGACAAAAAGTGGTGGGAAATTCCCTATTTTCACTGCTTAGTGGGCAGGGAGATAGGTCAGTGTCAAGTGCACAGTCCTGAGTTTGATCCCCAGTGCCAATAAATAAATAAATAAATAAATAAATAAATAAAATCCCTATTTTAGGGGCCGGGGAG